AAATTTGTTGTAATAGTTAAAATAATTAAGTCATTAATAGTCAAAGACCAAATTCGAAAAATACGAGTAAAATTGTAAAGAATAAATATTTTTTACTTTTAAGCTTAAGCTCTTGTGTCATTTAAAATTCTTTTTTATACTTAGACTTATATCCACGCCGTTGCCATAGGGCTCAATGTATCTCCTCTCTTCCTAATTTTTATGATACACGTTTTTATAAGTTAACATCTACTTACAACCCTATAACCAATTTTGTTTCTTTAAACATTTAGTGAGATTACGAAAAAAAATTTCTAAGAATTATAGCTAGATATCTGTAAACTAGGTCAGAACACAATAGTTCTTCCTCTTTATCTTGGAAAGATACAGTGGCAAAGATCGTAAGTTAGAAATTTAAGTCTGTAGATGTATGTTTGCTCAAAAATGCAAACAATTTTTCTATTTATGAAGAACTGCAAACTCAGTTCTGTTCTACTGGGGAAAAAAGTCTTACCGCCAATTTTAAAATAAAGAAATATTATTAAAAGATATAACGGTTTAAAGCCAGAAGCTGCTTATATCAATGACTTAATAATTTTGAGACTTTCCTTCTGAACATTAAAAAGTGAGAGAACATCTAAACAATTTCTAGACCTGTCTTGAACCAAAAATTGTCTTATAGCTTATAGATTTACGTATAGCGTAAAATGTCTTCGTTAAATAGGGCCAAATAATATAGTTACCACTCAAAGAACCAGATAAGTGCGTTAATAAAAAACCTAATAAACTTGCAGATTTTAATCTAGAAAATAGCTATAATATTGAACTTTAAACAATAACATTAAACTGCGGGCACAATAGTTACAACAAATAAAAGATGCAATAAATAGTTATTATAAAACATATAGTATATTCCTGTTATATCTTATCAATAAAACAATAGGTTGGCTAATGTGATAATTTTTTATTTATTTTGTTTCGTATTGAATTTGTTTTTAAAAAACACATGTAATGATACTATGTTAGATACTATTGGTTAGTTTGTTTTTTATATATGAGAGGTGTGTCAGTTCAGTCCCCATGTTTATACTTCGGGCTGGGCACCATATTTTTACAATTTGTTTAAACAGTAATTATTAATGAAAATTTAGATGCGGGACTGTATTGATTTGTAGATATTTTATTCAAAACAAAAAAATATTTCTAATAATTAATGAATTTAGTTAAATTATTAAAATATACTATTGTTAAATAATGGTTAGTGATTGAATATTTATGATCGAATACATTCGTAATTATAAATTCCAAACAAACAATTACAAGTATTCATTACAAAAACCGATTGGTATGAAAATTATTTATTGTGGTATTTGAGGATAATTTGCTTCAATTAGTTAAAAAAAAAACTTATAACGAAAAAAAAATTAAAATCAATCTTTTAACTATTACGACATTTACACTCTGATGAATTTTAAGTCAAATAGTATAGATGGAAAGACTTTTCTTAAGAACACCAATTGCTATTTTAACATTTGTTTGTAAAATCTTTATTGTACTTTAACTGTTAATTTATTTATTAATTTACTTTATTGCATATTCATTGAGTATTTTAATGAATTTATTTAAAAATGGAGTCATCTATGCATTGTCAGTGCATTTTTATTGGTTTGTTTTTATCAGATACATGTGTCTGCACTGCACAAATATTTATCAAATGACATCATAAGGCAGCTTTGCATGATTTTTTTGTGTCAAATGAAATAAATTTGCATTTGAAAGCCTATTTAAACAGCCTTATAGACAATTCAACAAGTTAGCAGAATTTTAAAATTATTCACAGTAAAGTATCAGACCATTTATATATTCATTGTGTTCTGCACTTGTGTAATTTTCTTTATTTAAGTGCTTTTTTATTTGTTATATTTGAAATCATTGCTTCAAAATTAAAGTGGAACAAAGTACCTTTCCCACTGGCACTTGAGAAACTTTAAAAATTTTAAGTGTGGGATTATTATTAACAAAAAAAAAAAACAAAAAGAAAAAATTAAATCAATTTAAAATTCATTTTTTGCAATTAATTTCAATTTGTTCATATCTCTTGACTTCGTCTATTAAATCATGTTAATTAGTGTTCAACTCAACACATTGTTCTTCACATTTCTCATTTCTGAGAAGATATGAAATGTAGGAGCTTGTTAAACTTTGAAGTAGTAATTATTATAATTTTTTTCTAGACAATTGAAGAGGAGGGTGAAAATTATAATTTCCATATTTTATCAGAAGTGTGTCTTTGACTAGTAGTTTCCTCCTTAACTTAATACAAAAAATGTATTCAGTTTAATAAAGATAGTTATTGAAGAAGATAAAAATATTTTGTTAAAACAGTTTCTCTTTGTTAACTATGTTATGATGTATATTAATATTATATAAAAGTGACTATTGTCTCCAATCTAAAGTATTTTATTGCAATTATCATGTTATATGTGAACTACGCTACGATTCCATAGCCATTTCAGAGTACCACAATACAATCGAATCCTAATTAAAGCTCATATATAATAATGAAGTCAAAGCATGGATGGGACTCACTGACTAGATGAAAGTATTATATGTATGATATGAAAAATCAAAAATATAAAAGATTATACAAATGATATTGAAAGTGTATATCAGGTATTGCATTTCTAGAGGCATGAACAATATATGTGTATGTGGACAATAGCAATAGATCGAACAGAGTTGACAACATAATATTGCAAATATTGTTCTT